GAAGATAAGGACCATTATATAGTAATGAAGCTGTGATAAGAGTCTATTATAACACCAAAATAATAGACTAAATTTAATTCTACTTAAACAAATGGCTTTCACTTTGGTTATGACCACTTATTTAAGTATTATGAATAATAAAATAATGATGTGCAATTTGAATGTATCACATCACCTTTGGGCAGAAGTGAAACATTTAAATTTTAATGCACATATATATTTAGTTCGCAGTACATAATTATAACACATCATCTTTGGATAGAAGTGAAATATTATGTATTTAAGGCGAGTGTCATGCAAATATCTATTTAAGGATATGCACCAAATGACAATGCTTAATAAGACTTGAAATAAATTTTACAAATGTTACACATCACCTTTGGGCATAAGTGTATTCTAAGGTATTATTCAAGTCAAGCAAAATAAATCAATTTAACTAATCATAAAAGTAAATTTTATTTAAGATTAGTCAAATGATTTATAATTTAATGTTAACCGCAAAAGTTATAGCGGTTCGGGGCGGGGCTACAAAATTGGGGACCCATTGAGATTAATTTAATTAGAAAATCAAAGGCATATAAGGCAAGAGATTTTCCAACAAATAAAAAAAATTTAATTTTTTTTAAAATGGTATTTTAGCATATCCCTTATTTAGTTTTGCTATTCTTGGTAAAATAAGTCAATAAAATAAGGAAACAGAATATATCATGCAAAAGTGAGATATGCCATACAATTTAAGGAAACACAATTATATTCCAAATCAAATACCAAAAAAAAATATATTATTTCATCAAACTAAGGATGAATAAGAATAAATTATTCAAATTATAGTTACTGGAAAAACTGATTTTGTGCATCGTAAGTCACATAATTTGTTTTAATTTGAATGAAAACTACAATCAATTAATGTTCTCTTAAGAATATTGTATAATTTCCGAATCATGAATAATTTACTGACATTTAAAATCACAAAACAATAATTTTATGGATTAATTTTCAGAGATAAGGAAAAAAAAACCCGATCTCGATTTTAAGGAATTAAAATCATTTATATTGATTCTCAAAATAGATCAAAGTTTCAGTCCTTTTTTTTCTTGTGATGTCAGTAACTCATCGGAAATAAGAGGCAAGGATTAAAACAAAAGTTGAAAAAGTATGATGCACTAACAAATCGGAAATAAGATGCGAGGGTTAAAAAACTTGTTTTTCCCATTACAATTCCGATCTTGTGATTAACAACACTAAGAAGTTGTATTTTATTCTCTGACGATTTTAATTCCAGGGTAGCGAAAAAGAGAGAATTAATTAATCAACATAAAGCTCCGATACCACATGTTGATCAATTCTTAAACATAAAATACAAATTAGGGATTTAATCATGTGTACCTGATAATCCTGTAAACGTAGTTAGAGATGAGGCCATGATTCTCACGCAGATCGAGTTCCCGTTTAGGGTGTATTGTTATGATGGCTAAGGTGAGGATGAGACTCACGAGAATAGAGAGGCAGAGAGAAGGCGTAAGATTGGTGTGTTGATCTCTGCCTAATGACCTCTATATATATACACCCAAGGAGAAACCCTAATTAGGTCATAAGGGTAATTACGTCATCGAATAATTACCAAATAAATACGTAGGGTATTTATTAGGTCAATGATCAATTAATTAGATAAATGATAACTCAGGCCACATAATAAAATCGTGTCCAACACTTTGCAGTCACAGTATATTTCTATCGCTGAGGCTAGAATGGTTTTAATAAATAAGAGGCTGTGATGATCTTTTGTATATGTTTTGTCAAATTCTGCTTACTAAAATTAAGGGAATAAGGCGTATCTTGGCGAGGCTTCGTAGGCATCGAGAAGCAGCCATGGTGTTTTAATATCTTTTTTGTTGTGATAGTATATAAATATTTTAAATACTTTGCCTCTTTATAGCCCATGTAGAGATGGGCAGATTTCTGGAAAATACAAATAGCTCTAATTAGCTGATTCAGTGAGATTAAAGAGGCTGTGACGAAATTGCGGTGTATTTTTTCAATTTTGATCCCAAAGATTTGATGAAATGATTCGTATCTTGGCGAGGCAACCCGGAGATTTGACTCCGTGGTTGCAGCCATGGCAATCACATCTCTTTGTGTAGCAAAGGAAAAAAATTTCTGAGCCTAAAGAAAGTTTCCACTTTTTGAAAACATATTATAAACTTATTTATAAGTTATGGTGTTTGTATACACTGAAATGGCAGGGGGTTTAAACATCTTTTCCAGCTATTTGTAAACATTAATATAAACATTTTTAGGGGGTTTACTTTAAACATTTTTCCAGCTATTTGTAAACATTACCCTAAACATTTTTAGGAGACCAATTTGTGCCAATTTCATTATGGTGTGATGTTCTGATAATGGGCAGTGGCAGTTCATTTGAATACATATGTGAAGTACTTTGCTAGGATTTATTATATTGAGATGCTAACTTTATACTACCTCCGTTCCAGTGTATTTGTCCAGTTTGACTTTTTCGAGTCAAAATGGACAAATTTTGAACTCCAATTACTCTTAATTTATATTGCATATTAGAATAATGAAATACAATTTTGAAAGTTCTCAACACGATAAATCCAATAAAGTTATCTTTATGTTAAAATACATTACGTTTTTTATTTAATTGAAGCTCAAAGTTTGTCCAATTTGACTCAGACTACACTGGGACATAGGGAGCATTATAAAGTTATGGCTGCAATCAACTTTATTTGATTAAACGATTCGTATCTTGGCGAGGCAAGCCGTAAATTTGTCACCACGGTTGCAGCCATGGCGATCTTATCGTTTTCTGTAGCAATGGGAAACTATTCCGAGCTTCAAAATAAACAATTTTACAATTTATAGTTTTTGACTTTTTGTATAAATTGTATTTCAATGTGGTTTTTTTGGTGTCCAAATCTGGGCCATTTTATGGGGATGGCGTGGAAGATTCAAGGAAGATTTAAAAAATAATACTGAAATGTTATTCTGTGGAGGAGGCTTTGTGTGGAAGAGGGCATTATCTCCCAGTTTCAATCTGGCCGGACGTCCATTGCACTGTATGTTCATTTGTCATTACATTAGTGAACTAATTGGCTTGGACTGACTCTTTGGAGATACCATGTACTGAAATTCTTGATGTGGGAATACTTTTCTTTTGTCCAGAACTGATTGTATATGTTTATAAATAGAGATTTCATGAGCTGCTGCCATGTGTAACAAACTATTTTCAGCCATTGGATGAGCAAAAATGGCGGGAAAATTCAGGACTGAAATTGGAAGGGATTTCTCCATTAGCTTTTATATATATAGTAGATTCGTTTTTCTCAGTCCAGCCTCCACCTCCGTACGTGCACTCCGTTCTCTCCCGTCTCTGCCTCGGCGTCGTCACCTGAGAATCAGTTGCGGTTGGCTAAGGGTCATCTCTCAGGTATGCAAATTTAGCCTATGTTATATCATTTGTCAATTTCATTGTTCATTTTAATGGTAGGCGAATCCAGATTTTGCTTTATTGATTTGAATTTCTATCTTCCAGTTTACCTCTACCACGGTCTAAATCTGTTTGTTTTCCGGATTCGAATTGTATTAGTGGCAGTATGGGTTTCTATGGCTCATGGAAATGGCTATGGATGAGAAGGGTTGTGGCCAGTGTGGGTTTACCTCTCCTTCACCCACCATGGATGATGGAGAACCCCAAGTGAAGAAGAAGCAGGCCCTCAGTGGTGTGACAGCGACGTCTTATTCATTGGAAATGATCAGGACGATGAGTACTTTGAGGAGTACATATATAATGCCTATGTATTTAACGAATTTCCTTATTTTCAGAGTACATCGATTAGGCGTCAATGGTGGATTTGGGTGAGATATCTTGGCATTTTGGGTTTCTTTGGACTCGTGGGTTTGTTCATCAGCACATCCTCATTGCACCATTTTCTAACAATTTTCCTGAAATATTATGTGAACTCTTCTACTAGGATGTACGTAGTGTCAAGCTATTTCGTTACGATCAGCTATTGTCACTGTTTGTGTAGGAACCTGCTGAGTTTTACATCCCAAGCTCCTAGCAATGTCTAGGCTCAAGAAATTGTGAGTGCTTCCGGAATCATTCAGTATATGAATAGGCCTCTTTTTAACCATGCCCATAGTTCTCATGGTGTGATAGTTGTACAGAAATACAAGCATTTGATGTGAATGAATCAAGTTGAATCAGAACTTCTTCCTTGTTATTTAAGGATTCTCCCTTTTCAGGTATCTGAACAGTTAACAATTGTTGTTCCCTGAAACTACATTTGTGGCCTCTCTCAAAGGGTTTATCACTGTAGTAGCACAACCCCTTGGCTATCTTTTCTGCCCTCACATCTGCAGGTATGTATTTGTACCCTCTATTAGATTTAGTTTGACTTGAAAAATTGAATAGTTGGAAGTTGGCAGGCTTGGTTTTGATGAGTTGCTGACTAGTGTATATTTGCTGGATTAGGAATATTCCACTTCTATTGATTCTTCTTTAAGCCTTGCGTACTCAATAGCCTGAGCTATGCAACTAGGTTTGGAAGCTTTAACACACAACTTAATTCTTGGTTTCAACCCTCCAATAAAGCAATCCAGAAAATATAAGAATCAGGTAGATAACTTGTAAGTTGTAACCCAATTTTTTGCCCTTTCAACCTTGCAATATCTACCCATTGTTCTTCTGGAATTTTACCAAGGCTCCGTTTGGTACGCATAATTCAAGCAATAGAATTGGAATTGGAGACGTCATTTCGAATTATGCTGTTTGGTAGCACAAAAATGTGTGAATTTGGAATTGATTGTGCAAAAAATGATTTGGAATTGGAGAATTCAATCCAATTCAATTCCATATAATTTCAATTCCAATTGAATTCCAATTCTGTCAATTCCATGTACCAAATGGACCCTGAGTGTAAAATTCTTGCACTCTTTCTTATTCCAAACTCCTGGATTGCTGCCATCAAATATGGGGAATCCTAGCTTGCGATTGAAGCCGAGTGTTCTTGCATGTGACTGGCTTCCATCTCCACCTGTTAAGCTATCAGCACCCTCGCGTTACATTCGGATTTTCATCAGTAAGCAGAAGCCATAGGAGAAGGGGAGAGATGATGTTCTTCATCCTCAAATATTTTTTTTGAAAGACTTTTACAGTGAATGGGACATCAAAAAAGCTTTCCCTCTCTCATAATGTTCTATGTGCAAAGTGCAAGGGGTAAATGCATTTATAATCATTTCTGTACATGAATTTCAGTCCCTCCACAAACTATTACAATCTTTCAACCACAACATTCAAAGTTTTTAGTGTGATTGGAATGTGGTTACTTTTAGACATTCACATCCCACTAAGAAACACGCTTGAGTGTTGGTTGAATTATACTAGATGTGCATGTCTGATTTGATGTCTTTTGCTAACATATTGTTTCAAGGTTGACCCTTCTTCCCAAAATCTCATTCAAAGAAACCTCAAATAAAATATACAAACTTTAAATTTCTCAACATTTGTTCTAATAGCCACATCAACAAACTTAACAAGAGCCCGAGAGCGTAACTTTGTTGGGTAATAGAAGTACATAAACAGAGTAATGCTTGAATTTGACTCCTATCAATTATGACAAAGGACGATCATGCGTAGGATGAGATTCTTGCACGTACCTGAAACATATCTCACTTTTTATTGATCAATCTAAAATTTAAAACTTAATATACTTCCTCCTTCCAACAATAAACTTCACATTTTGAAAAACATGCAAATTTTTATTTTTTTAAAATAATTTTATTTACAAATTGGTATATCATAAAAAAGTATAAGTTATATTTTTTAAAACTACATCAAAAGTTCTACAAAAGAAGATGTGACAAGAAAATATTTTCGTATCAAATTATTGACAAAAATATTCAAACAAATTGACGAATTTTAAGGATGAAGTAGTACAAATGCTAGAGAGAGAAAGCTTATAATACATATTAGTGAACTAAGAATCCCATCAGATTCCCTCCAAGTTGAAGGAGGAGATCTATTTATACATTACAAGTAATGGGGTAGAGTGCAACTATCTGATGTTACAACACATGGGTTCATTAATTACTGACCTGTACTATGACATGTCTCTTTCTCGTCATAATCGAGGACTGTTCCCATGGCAGGGGTCAGTTCATTGTTTCCGAGGGGTTGACCACTGGGAGTTGATTGGTGCTGAGCTCGTCCAATGGCCGACTATGCCAAACTCTCTCTGGTTTGGTGATGGCCGAGCGCGTCCATGTTGTGCTTATGGCCGAGCCTAACCCTTAGTGTGCTCGTGATGGCCGGTCGAGTTCGATTCCTTCTCCCTTAAGGCTTGATGCTAATGAGCCTGGTTGCAGGGCTCGTGAGTGGTGAGGTCGAGCTTGAATGCGACGGGGCCGAGCTTGAGAGGGACGACACCGAACTTGGAGCCTTACCTTCACTTACTTACTTATGGGCCTTGCATGCTCCGTCCAAACACATAGTATATAGGCCCTAGTTCTAGCCTTCTAGGCCCAACATCTCCATCACAAACATAAGTTATCAAGAAGTCGTAATAGTAACTGAGAAATTTATTATTGGATGGAAGGAGTATTTTTTATGCTACTCTACTAGTTGGTTGATCAAAAATTAGCAATCTTGAGTTTCATTCTATAAATACAAAATTCATGATGTCAAAAATCAAAATTGTGTAAAAAAAGATGGAGTTTGCTAAGTTTTTCAGTTTTTTAAACTAATTAACTGAAGGAGCATGTGCTACTTTACTTAACATCTGTCCCTTAGAAGCCCAAACGGCCGCATTACCCACATAGTAAAGCCGGGAACAACAGTCAACAAGTACAACGGCCACCCATAATCCCTAATGGATTTGGAATTGGGTTGCGATCTTTCTATCCACGCCCCTAAATTATGGGCTGGCGGCTTTGATGACTGGTCTATCTCCCCCCATGCCTAAATTGAACAAAATTTCATCCCCTAAGGTTAAAAGAATTAACCATGAGAGAAGTAAAAAGTTTGAAAATATTAAATTAGAACTCAGATGTATTTTAAGACTAAAATAGAAGTATAATAGCAGTATAATATAAGAATATGTGTTAACAGTTTAATAGAAAAATGGTGACAATATAATATGTCAATATAATTAGTCAGTCATCGGTGATCTACAACGATACTCTGGCGGTCAGCGAGGACAAATGGCAGCGTGGCGGTGATAGTGTGACAGTTATAATGTGACAATGCGGTAAGTGTGACAGTGTGACAATGGCGGTATGAACTCTAATTTGGTCGTAAATGACTTATGATTCTGATGTTGGTTTTTTTTATAATTTGTTATTCCTATTTAGGAAAGTTCTCTGTGATTAAATATGAACTCTTTTATACTCTCTCCATTCCAAAATAAATACCAATGTTACTTTTAGAGCATGGGCAACGGCGTGTAGTTTAGCCACCACGCCATGCCATAGCGAGTAGAGTGTCGGATAAAATTAACCACTTGCATTTAAAGTCGGAATCCACTATTCTAACTCACAAGCTTAAGTTGATAGGTAGGGCTCCACCTTTTGTTATATGCTAGTGTTATTCGTCTTTATTTTTCAATATGTGAACTCCAACAATCCCCCTCAAGTGGTAACTAGTCTGACCCAGTTAGCACATAGATAGACGGATCTAACCTCTCAATCTCTTATAACTAGCCCACACATCGGGCGGTGACTTCTCATTCTCTTATAGCCAACGCAACCCAAACCGCGGACGGGTAACTTTTCTTTTTGCTACACCCACGTCCAACAACCAGAAAGAATCGAACTTGGACCGGGACCTGCTATGATACCATGTTAAAATTCCAGCGTGCTAAGAACAACGAGTAGAGTACCAGGTAAAATTAATAATTGCATATAAAGTTAGGATCCACTATTTTAACACTAAATCTTAAGCTGGTGATAGGTAGGGCTTTACCGTTTTTGATATGCTAGGAGTATTCGTCTTTATTTTCTGATACGTAAACTCCAACAAAATAAATATATATATATATATATATATATTTAAAAATGACATCAGAATTTGCCTTTTTTTAAGTACAGTATATAAAATAATACTCCCCCTATTCTACTCTCTTTGTCCACTTACCTTTTGGCACACCATCCAATGCACTTCTTTAATCCATTTTATCTTGTAATTTGTATATTAAAAAATTATAGAAATTATATATTAATAATCTATATGTTAAGACAAATCAAACAAGATCACACATGACTATATTTAAGCTTACACATTGAGAGAATTTGATGAGTCAAAGTGCTTAGATGAACAGTTTCAAAAGTCAAACGTGGACAAAGAGNTATAAAATAATACTCCCCCTATTCTACTCTCTTTGTCCACTTACCTTTTGGCACACCATCCAATGCACTTCTTTAATCCATTTTATCTTGTAATTTGTATATTAAAAAATTATAGAAATTATATATTAATAATCTATATGTTAAGACAAATCAAACAAGATCACACATGACTATATTTAAGCTTACACATTGAGAGAATTTGATGAGTCAAAGTGCTTAGATGAACAGTTTCAAAAGTCAAACGTGGACAAAGAGAGTGGGACGGAGATAGTAAATGTTTAAATGAAATGTTAATAAGGATGTGCAATATCATTATGGGCAATGCTAGGGGTACACCAACATGGGGTACCCCAAGTGTACACCAAGCCAACACAGACACACACAGATACAAAATGTCTGTGCAACACAGACACTTTGTGTCTCTGTGTGTCTGTGTTGGCTTTGGTGTACATTTGGGGTACCCCATGTTGGTGTGCCCCTAACTTAATTAGCTTAATTCTATCATTATAAATTGATTCAGCCATTGAAAGGACTTCAAATCACATCTGAAATAATAATCATGTGATTCGTACAAAATTCTTTCATGCGCAATTGTATGTTAGCATATGCCTTAACAGATCATAAACATACACACAAAAATGTCTAGTAACACGACAAGCACTGTCGGAAAAATTAACACCGTGAAAATAAATACTCCCTGCATCCTTAATTTGATTACAAAATGAGAGTTACAAAATAAATATTCTATTTTTTAAAATAAATTTAATTATAAATTAATATATCAGAAAGAAATAAAAATTACATACTAAAAAACATGCGTTAAAAATTCTACAAAACAAGATATATATAACAAAAATATTTAATAATGAATGAAAATACACAAATAAACAAAAGTTATCAAGATGAAAAAAAATTACAATCTATTTTAGGACGGATGGAGTATGACAGTTTTTTTAAAAGCCCGGAGTATATTGAAAATAAACTAATCACATTTTTTGTCTTTTACTCATAAACTCTCTAAAAATTGTGCAAATTCACCTTTAATTTTAAAATTTACACCAATAATCTTTGAAGATTTATAAACATTGCATCAATTGTCCCTTTGCACTGAAATTTGGGGGTGCTCTCTTTCTCTATCTCTCTCTCTCTATGTGTGTGTACTTAAACAAGTTTTAGTTAAACATATTACTTTTTATATATTGTCTAAACACTCATTTAAAATTAAGGGATATGCTAGGGGTACACCAAAGGTGTACCCCAAATGTACACCACCCTCCTCTTTACCATTCATTTTATTTTGTTTTTATTTTTTATTTTTATTTTTTTTGAATTTTTCTTGCCTTTTTTGTGTGGTGATGGAGGGGGTGAGGGATGTTTGGGTACACTTTTGGTGTACCCCTGGCATTTTCCTAAAATTAAATATGAACTTGATTTATTGTACTTCGTGCAAAACGGAGAAGAAGGTATAACTTAAGGCAAATTCTATGG